CGCCGGCCCCGCCCCTCACCCGCTTCTGCGCGCGCTCCCTCTTGTACAGCTTGGCCGCCTTCTTGTTCTGGTTGATGCCCAGCTTAGCCGACTTGAAGGACTCCAGGCGTTTTCGCATCGTTCTGTGGAAGATCTCCTTGTCCTGTTTCTCGCTCTCGTTTGGAGTTAGCTTGTGCCGACTGTAGAGATGCTTGTACTGGGGGGAAGCGGGCGGTCCGGCTGAGCGGGTCAGAGCGGAACTCCTGCCTGGCCCTCCCCACCACTCTGCCTGGGGACAGGGAGGACGCTACCCCAGGACTACCCCGGGACTCCAGGGCTCCGCCAGTGCCGGGAGGGCAGGGGAAGGGATCCCGGTGGACCCCCGCCTCCAGAAGCTGGGAGGGTCTGGTGAGCCACCCCTGCCCACCTCCTGCCGGGGCTTGTACAGGTACTGCTGCAGCGTGTGGTGGGTGACCATGTCCTCCGTGTCTCGGATGCTCCTCCGTCTCTGCTCCAGGGACTGCATGTCCAGGCGCACGGCGCTGACATTCTCCCTCCTGCAAGAGCCCCAGGAGGAGCTGCTCCCGTGCACTCCTGCCCAGGTCTGCACATCCAGGCACCTGTCCTGCTCTCTTCTCCCTGGGACTCCAGTCAGACTGACTCCCACAAGGCCTTCCCAGCCTCTTTTAAAGGCAGACCCCTGGAATCCCCTGAAAAACCCAGCTGTGGGGCCCTGGAGCCAGCCTGCCCGCTGCCTTTCCCTGGTGCTGGGACCCCTGTCCCGGCCATCTTCAGTTAGAACTGGCTATAAGCTGCCCGGGGCAGCAGACACAAAATCCTGACAGACCTGGTCTATTTTCCCCTGGGCCGGGACAGGCACATGGTAGCCAGGGGAAAACAGACCAGGTCTTAGCCCCTAAGTGCCCTCTGCCCCTGGCACGTCATTTCAGTGCTCTTGCCAGTTTCATAGTGAAGTAGGTTTGCTTTCCCATCCCAGTCCAGGCCCCCAAACCTCCCACTGGCCCATTTATGATTTCCCCAGGCCTGGAGGAGGAGTGATCCAGGGAAGACCCCACCCAGCTGCAGGCCAGGGCAGCAGCACACGTACAGGAGGTAGGACACAGAGGCCTCCACGGTGGATGGGCGCGGTGTGCTGAAGTCTACGTTCACCATGTTGTCCGTGCTTGGGGAGCGGATGAAGGCCAGTGACCCGCGCCGCTCTCCCTGCAGGGACAGGCAGATGTCTGCTGAGGGAGGCAGGCCCTGGAAAGCACCTGAAACTTGGAAGACTGGAGGCCCTGCTGCCTGTGCTTGGGCCCACAGGGCCTGGGAGGTGGAGGCAGAGCCTAGGGAAAGTCAGCCCAGCGTGAGGCCAGTGCCCACCCACAGCCTGCAGGGGTCCAGAGGCACAGACAGCAAGGAGACCAGCTCCTGCAGGGTCCAGACAGTACACTGCCTGAGTGGCTGAGTTGAGGATGGGTCCAACACACAGCTGTTCAGAGGAGAAAGAACCTCTTGGAGGGCATTTGGGGGGTCTGGGAAGGCACTGTCCTACTTGCAGATTATGGGGGACTCTCCTCATTGAGGCTTCCAACCCACAGGCCTCAGGCCCTGATGGGCTCCAATAGCAACCCAGAAGTTGCTGGAGGACAGAGGATCTGTGCTCTGGCTGGGGCCTGGGTCAGGAGGGTGAGAAGCCTCAGAGGACACGGATCACGGTGGGCTACAGCCCAGGGAAGGCTGAGGAAGACGGTGGCCGGAGTTGTCAGGCTGCTCCTGGTCTTTAACTAGCTTCGACGTGTGCACTGTACTTTTCAGTTCAGGAAATGCTCCCTGGGAGCCTGGGTGGGGGGTGGCTCCAGGGTGTCTGGGTCACCCTCAGCCACACTGGTCCCCTCCAGGGCATGCCTCTTACTTCCAAGCCCTGCATTCTCCACATGCCCTTCCCCTCCCACAGACTGGCAAGGTCAGGTCTGCAGCAGGACAGTTCCTGGCATGCCTCCTCCCAGGGGACCCTTGGAGCTGGGGCTGGGACGGGAAGGGGCTGGGGTAATGAGCACCCTCCAGGGTAGGCTTGAGGCTGTGACTGTGCACTCTCCTGGACCTGGGGCCATTTCTGTTGGGAACTCTGCTGGGGAGAGAGCAGAGCCCAAGTTGTGGGTCCTGTGTCAGGTACTGCTGGCTGGTGGGGGTAGAGGACAGGCTCAGCACCCTGTTTGGTACCCGTCACATAAAGTGAGGAGTTGAGGAGTTCTTCAAAGACAGGAGGCAGCACTCAGAGGCTGCCAGAGACCCCTGCCTGCCCTCGCCTTCCCGTCCTCATCCAGCTCCAGAAAACAAATTGTAGCCTTCTCTAGGATTTCGGCTTTTAGAGGAGGCCCTCAGCCATCTGAGGTTGAGGCCCTGCCACCGTGGGCAGCCAAGTGGGGCCTGCCTGGACCTCGGCCTGTGCAAGGGACAGGGAGACCATCGGGGCACACCTGGGGCCAAGGTGGGGAGGGCGGGCGTGGGACTGCACTCTGCCATGACCTGTGTGCCTCCCATGTCCACCCACACATCCTGAGTCCTGACTGTGTGCAGGGGTGGGCTGTGCACTCCCCTAACCACATGCCCTGAGAGCCATGACAGGACTTGTCCCTCCCCCCACGTGCATCTGAGCTGGCTCCTCTGTGCCATGCCCTGGACACATCCAGCCACCAATGTGTGGGCAGTGTCCACTCCAGCCTTGACTTGGGGGTGGATTCGTTCACCTGGTGAAGCAGAGGACAAGGTAGAAGTCCTACTGCTTCCCCCAGGGGTGCCTGCCTGTGCCAGGGCCTTGGCTCCTGACCTCCTCCCTGCTCCCTCCTCCATCTTGCGAGATGTGCCAGATGGATCTCAGGATCAGAAGTCCTGACCCTGTGCACAGACCCTGGGCCCCAGTGTCTGTCTGAGCATCACCTGCCCGGGGCCTCGTGGCCCGCGGGAGGGAGCTCTGACGTGCCTGTCCCCAGGGATCCCTGGAACCCTGAGCTGCACTTGAGTTTTGGGGCAGGCCCCTTGTGCACAGAGGGCAGGCCCTCTTGCGTGCTCCTGGACCACATCCAATGAACCCTGGCTTCAGCTCCCAGCTCCAGAAGGACATGGAATGTTCTGGTACCTCAGCCACATAGCTAATGGCGTCTTTCAAGTTCAGCTCATGGAAGACATTCAGAATCCGATCTCGAGACTTTTGGGCTGACCTTCTCATCAGGACCTTGCTGAGGAACTTCCTGTCAAAATTGGACCACCTGGGGGACAGACAGTCACATCAGCAGGTGGGAGCTGGACAAGGCTGGGTAGACCCTTTCATTTGCTGCCACAGGCCTAGAGGTGAGTTTTAAGTGGCAGGCTGAGTTCACCTTGTACTGCCTGCCCTCTGAGCCTTGCTGTTTGGTGGCAGTGGCCTTCAGAACACAGGTGACACCATGCTCCATGTCCTTGCCTGGTGGACAAGGCTTCCAGGTGGCACCTGGCCCTCAGAGGTGGTGCAAGCAGCTCAGGTGCCTGAGGCTGTAAGCCTGGGTGTTCTGCCAGGTGAGCTGCAGCCCCCGGGAGACGTAGAGGATCGTTTCATGAAGCAGGGGCCAACGAGTGGGCTTGATGTGCTTTAGTGTTCAGATTCATAACAAGACATAAATCGACAATTCCGATTCCATGAACACAGTAATTTTAAATATTGAGCGACACTAATGTGCCCCTCTTCTGTTCCTACAGTGGGGGAAATGGTTTACTCTGATTTTTCAGTTTCCCACAAGTTAACAATATAGCTGGTCAGCCACAGTAAAAGGCACTAAGCTCAGCTGGAGTGGGGCTCCCCACAATTGGGCCAGGAAGGGTCCTCCTGACAGCTGTATCCCTCAGACCACAGTGACTCCATCCCTGTGCCATTGCAGGGTCTGTGGTGGCCCTACCTGTGCCACCGTCTTAGGGAGGAATGTGCCTTTGGTTCCCGCTTTGGTCCACCTCTGGCCACTTACTTATCTCTGAGATAATTGTGTCCAATTTGTCCTGAGATGTCCTCGATGGCAGAGAGGATATGGTCAAATGCCTTTGGGACAAAAAGACCCTCCTCAGCCTCACTGGGACCACGCAGCTTCCTGGAGCCCCAGGCGCCCTGGGGACCTGCCCCTCCCTCTACCTTCGCCAGTCCCCCCTCCACCCCACACTGCTCCCCTGCCCCTGCCCACTGCCCTACCCGACCGTGCAGCTTCTCGTTGAGCTTCGGCTCCCGCTGCTCACTCCTCTTCACCTTCAGCCACTGCACCAGAGGCTTGATGGTCAGGCCCTGGAAGACCAGCCTCACTGATCCTGATGCCAGGCAGGAGTCCCCGACCCCAGCCCTTGTGTGACCTCCCTGCCATGCTGGGAAGCCCAGGGACACCAGCCTCTGTGACACTGCCCTGCAGAGACGAGCCCTAGCCTATGCCACAGGGTTCATAAGGACATCCCGGCCCCCACCTGGCTCCTTGGACCACCAGACACGGAGCTGAGGGCTTCCACCAGACCTGTCACCAGACTGAACCCTGACACTGACAGCCCATCCCACTGCCCGCTTGCAGCACTGAGAGGCTGGAGGGGTGGCTGGGTGCTCCCAGGTACCTACCCACGTGGGACCCTGCCCCAAACAGGAGGCAGCCCAGACTGTCTCCGTGTGGTCTGGAGGCCCAGAGCCACTCCAGGCCTGGGGCCTGACATCTCATAATCAGGGTAAAGACATACCCACCAGCAGGCTTGGTCTGACTTCACCCCAGTTAGGAAAGAAGGAAGTGGCACCCTGAGTCCTGGCCACCGGCTTCACAGCCCTGTCAGCACCCAGCCTGCCCCAGGAGGTGCCTCACAGCAATTTCCTGCCCACTCCCAGAATCCTCTGGTTATGTACAAATGGTACCCAGAATGACAAGAACCGGCGAGTCTGATGACACTCAGTGGGTGTCAACAGGGGCTCCACTCATCAGCAAGCCAGCACAGCACTCAGGACAAACTGTGCCATGTCCCCTGTGGGGCCACGTGAAAACCTACAAAACGCTCCTAGTTACTAAAATTACAAGACCCAGTTAGGTCTGGAGGCTGGGAATTGGTCCTGCGGCGCTGAGGTGCGCCCAGCCTGGCCTGTGGGGACAGGACCGCGTGGCCAGGCAGCGCACCTGGAAGATGACCGTGAAGAAGACCACGATGATGGTAGTGCTGACAAAGAGGTTCTTCTCCTTGACCTTGTTCTCATCCAGCAGCACCACCAGGGCGTAGGCCACGGCCCCGCGCAGGCCGCCGTAGGACATGACCACCTGGTCGATGGGTTCCAGCTGCACCATGCGGTACCGGTTCAGGATCCAGGTCTGCAGGACGATGCCTGTGGTGGGGAGGCATGCTCAGCCAGTGTCCCCTTCCCTGGG